ACACACACACAAACACACACACACACACACACACACACACACACACACACACACACACACACACACACACACACACACACACACACACACACACACACACACACACACACACACACACTGCCCTGCCCTCTATTAGTGGACACAATGAGTGTGTAAGAGGATCTGAATGAAGGACTCCCCTGAGGACTCGTACTGTTAGAGCTCATTAAATGAACACGAGTACAAACACTGACATGTGTGAGGTGTTCACTTACACGACCAGATTTAGCCGTTTATGTCATGCAACACACACTTTGTTGAGAGCACGGCCCGTTCTGTTCCTTTTGTGTGCGTTGAAAGAAGTCATGACACACTCAGGCTTTACATAGAGAGAGTGAGCTTCATGGAAAATACTTAAGAGCTGTTGATATCACACACAGACACACACACACACACACGGGGTGATGAATTGAACTTGAGGGAGTGATCATATTTAGAAACAGGGAAGAGCACAAGGTGACGAGGAAGAGGTAACAATGAGGAGAGGAAAGGAGGACAGGAGGAAACCAACAATGAAACAGAAGATCAGAAGAGATGGCACAGTGAAAAGTGTTGCATGAAGTTAAATGTAATCCAGCAGCCCCCTCTTGTGGACAAACATGGAAGTGTTTCAATTTCTATTAACCAGACTGGAGCTCTTATTTTATAAGTATTCGTGTCTTTTTTATGCCCCGTCCTCTTGCTCGATGTGCACTAAAGCTGCGAAAGTTAGTCAGTCAACATAAAAATAACTATCGCCTCTTTAGATGGATTAATTGTTATTCTTCCTGCAAAAAAGGGCAGAAAATGCTGTTTCAGCCTCTTACATTTTGACTTTTTTTTCAGTTTTATATCATATAAAAGTGAATATCTTTGTATTTGACATTTTATAGACCAATCGATTCATCCAGAAAAATAAATTGTAGTCAAATTTTGTACTGTAATAAATGTACAACTTTATTAAAACTATCAAGCTTGTTTTAGTTCAGTTTTTTAAGACATGCATGATCTATCAGGTGTGTGACAGCTAAATCTGTGTGTCCATAAGGCATCAGTTTCATACAGTGTGTGTGTGTGTGTGTGTGTGTGTGTGTGTGTGTGTGTGTGTGTGTGTGTGTGTGTGTGTGTGTGTGTGTGTGTGTGTGTGTGTGTGTGTGTGTGTGACTCACCTCTCTCCCCTTGTGTGTGACGAGGGCGGCGAGGGGTTTGGCGTAGAAGCGGCTGAAGCTGAAGCCCAGGCAGCCGTACATGCTGTTAGCCGTTAGCTTCAGAGCCTTCTGACGGATATCATACTGACGGAGAGACAGACAATGAATATTAGAATAGCTAATTCTCTCAAACTGCAGTTGAGGTTACCTGTGTGTGTGTGTGTGTGTGTGTGTGTGTGTGTGTGTGTGTGTGTGTGTGTGTGTGTGTGTGTGTGTGTGTGTGTACCTGCATGTAGAGGTCAGAGTTGAGGTCCTGCTGCTTCATCAGCTGTTTGACTTGTTTTCGTCGCTCCACCAGCTGTTTTTTAAGACATGCATGATCTATCAGGTGTGTGACAGCTAAATCTGTGTGTCCATAAGGCATCAGTTTCATACAGTGTGTGTGTGTGTGTGTGTGTACCTGCATGTAGAGGTCAGAGTTGAGGTCCTGCTGCTTCATCAGCTGTTTGACTTGTTTTCGTCGCTCCACCAGCTTCCTGATTTCTTTGGGCAGGATTCCCATCTCCAGGCTCTGATCGGGAACTTCGGGAATGTCATCCGACCCGTCCTCCTGTTACCGGGGAAACAAGACATGGAAGTTTAGTTGGGCATTTTACGTGAGGAAGAAAAGAAAAAAAGGTAAGACTGGGAAACTGAGGATGTTGAGGCTCGTCACACCTCTGAACCTGACCAATCTTTAGAGCGTCTATTTAGCTACACACACACTCCTACAGTGAACAAGAACACACACACCTCGTTGTTCTTCTTCTTTGCGTTGTACGCCTCCCTCTGCACGGTGGTGAAGCAGATGTTGAACTCCTGGATGATGGAGGGGTACAGACTGTTGAAGTCCAGCAGCAGAACAAACTTGTCGTAGAAACCTTCAGAGAGAAAAAGAGAGGTTTTAGAAATATGCACATAAAAAACAAGATGAGGACTTTAAACTAAAAATGAAAACACTTACCAACTTTAGGATCCAGCACCAGACCTCCGGCATACGCTGCCTTCTTCTTCCTCTTCCCTTTCCCCCCATCCCCTCCTTCTTCTCCCTCCCCCTGGGACACAGGAACAAAGAGAAACCGATCATCCAACATCCGTCACATTTGTACTCTACTAAAAACACCTTATCCCGCATTTTCATGTTTCACTTTTCCATGACTTTGAAAAGACAACTACGTTTCGAAATGTCATCACACATCAGAGCAGTGTCAGATCATCAGCTAGAGATGTTATGTCACATGTTACGGAAACTTATACTACACTATAACAGTTCAACTTTACAAATGATATGACTTCTTAAACACTTTCAAGGGTAATTTAATTGAAATGTTGTGACTTTTCCAGGTTTTCCATG